CCAGATTCCTTTGTTTGGTTACCGAAGGTGTTTTCCGTTTGTTTAGTCCTTTGGCTCCAGTGGCTATTGTGCCCATTTCGTATCATCTTTAATAAATTATTTATACCATAAACTCCCTAGGAGAACGCCATAAAATGAGGCTTGAATTCTCATCAGATTTATATTGTTTACGTTAATTACCGCACTACCTGAACGCACGTTTAAGCCGAACATAGACGAATTTTGTCTGTCCACTTAGCGCATCGCTCTACTTTGTAGTAGTCACTGATTGCATTCAATAGGACTCAATTCATGACTCAGCTGCAAAGTTGCCGGAATACTTCGGCAAATGCCCATTAGCAGTCGGCTTTTGGTTTTATTAACTTCGGGTAAAAAGTGAATTATTCAAATTTGAAGCCATTCATCCACCTAGAACAGAGGTTTCGTGAGAGACACTTTAAGTAAAAATTTATTAGATCTCTTTTGACCATTTTGTTCGGCCTTACTTCTGATGCGAGAGTGAAGAGAGTTTCGATGATACGTGCTAAAGGGTCATTTCAACGCTTTTTAAAACAGCAGTTGCCTTTTTGAAAATCTCCTTGAATCTTTTCACTTGGAATACATTGACGTGTTGTTGGATGCAAACAGTGTGAATATGAAGACCATACTGGTTTGTGTACTGATGGACATTATTTAGTCCTAACTTTTTCTTAAACTGCAAACTCTAACATTCATTGGTTTTAATCTGCTGGTCCGCTTTGACGCAGTTAGCAGCACAGAACGCCGATGCCGTCTTAATATGCTAAAAAGGGTTGTAAGAATAACTAACCTGCATGTTCACTGCATATATTAAATAAAAACTGGGAATTTCACACTCGGATTGAACATAGGAAAGTGATGTGTGTCACGGTGCGTTTTTCTTCTCCTTCCTTTCAGTTTTACACTCAAGGTGCTTTTACGAATGCATTTGTCTTCAAACTAATTCGGTAGCAAGGTGACAGACATATAGGAAATGTTGAGAACCTTGTCAATATTCAACGTTTTGCATAGTCTGTTTCTTAGTGTAACCATGTTCTCCATGCGAATAATGAGGCATAAAACTTTAGAATGCTTGCACAACATTGTTTTAATTCTTCTAGTAATTGCATTCTAACATCGGAGCTAACACAGAAAGCTGACAACAATCACAATATAGACAACAGCATAGATCCAATCCAGCGAATCTTGGAACAAGACTTTTGATTTCTTCCACATATGTGACCTTCTAGACCGCCAGTTTTGATAGGTCAAGATACTACGTTATCCTGAGTTATCCTGAGAATAGGTCCAGTATTTCAGATCTAACTAACATTCTGTACGCATTATTGTCGTGTGCTCAAAGCTTTTAAGGGCTTTCTTTCCCGCTTCGGCTAGCATATCTCTCTTTTAGGTATGTTGTATTCCTATAATTTTGCGAATTGTGCACAGCGTTAGACAATGTGGCTCCAGACCTACTACAAAATATTAGTTAGACTAAATCCTTTTCTTCAAACATTTCACACCACTAAAAAGCTCATCCAGTCGCTTTTCCAACTTGCCTTTAGTGAACGATCTTCAATCATACAATCCACCGCAAAGTTTTTTACTCAAATCCCAGGCATTGCTATCAGTTTAGCCGGGACGGCTTCCGTGGTTGGTTCGTTTATATTGTAGCGCCCACTGACACGGATTACTGCTACAAGCTAAATTTGTTTGGATTCTTTTTATCTTTAATTGGACAAACAAAAGTCTGTTAGGTGCCAACGGAAAAGCAGGAGATAACGGTGACGCTTCGATGGACAAAAGGTTGGGTGACCTTCACCGCTTGACCACGGCCAAAAATCACTTTACAGGAGCTAACTATCACTGCTAGGTATGGCGTTTTCATGGATATCGTGGTTCACCACTGATAACGATCAACCACTGGTGACAAAATGAACGCAGATTGTGTACCAGCACTGGTTTTAGTTGTGTAGGTCTTACTTACGTCGGACAGTTAATCATTCAATGTCCGATTTGCCGCTGTTAAGTCAAGTTTCTAGCTATCCGTCATGACGACAGAGCAACCTCGAGCCTGAGGGGCGAACACAGTGCTGCATAGGTGAATGACACAGACCACGACCGAAACAGCGCAATAATCTTGGTTGTAGATGCTGTGATAAACAACTGTTGACACAGAAGTGCCTTCTTTTGGATTTGTGGACTACTTTGTCACTCTTATGAATTTGGGCACCCGGTCCATAGAAAACGTTGACTTAACACCTCTACCGTCCTATTGTTTACAAAATGTGGTGACCATGTCCCGCAAAGTTAGACAGACATACAGTAGACAAGTGATATTCCAATAAATACTAGGGCAAATAGACTGAAACAGACTTCGTTCTGCAAGTAGGTCTTTTCAAAAGAGAGTTCGAAATTTAATTCAAATCCGAAAAAGTGGCCATTTACTGGAAGTAAACCTTGTCTATTCCAGAAGATCTAATGATTTCAAATGTGACAGTTTATGCACCTATGTACGTCTTTTTCGGTTTAAAAAATTTAAACCCCAACTGCAGGTAGTAAAGTCTGACAACTTTTGACGTTTCACAGGAAAATGGTTAAATGTTCTAATGCTTAATTCATTGCTTTTTATAATCAATCAACCGGCTTTATATCTGACACTTTGGTTTGAAGACAATAGTAGGTTTGGGAATCCACTCTTTGTTAAACTGCTTTATCACTTAAACAAATAATCGTACCCCAAATGCAAATGCGCGATAAACCGAGGAATTGCAATTAAATTATTACTATATATTACCTATCGTAATATTAATCCTCTGTAACAGTCATTTTCACTTTTCCGGACAAAACATCTCACTAACGAATAAACATAGTTGTTTATTTTGCCTAATGCGACATGCTTACATGCTTACAACCGCATATGCGATTTCAGTAATTACCTGAATGAAATGAAACACAGTTAGGCAAATATTTGGTCATAAAATAGAAGCACCCTTACTTTTACACTCGAGGATATATAACTAGTTACAGGCCAACAAATTCATCAAGGTCTTTCAACCTGTTTTGTGCTTTTCCCGGTAACTTACTTGAAGTTCTGAATACAGTTATCTGTGTTTATCTGTTGCCACCGTTTCTTATGATCAGTCCAAACAAGTTCAAATCTACGCTGCGTCAAAAGGTCCGCAGTCTGTAAATTTTTGATCAGGGTAGATATCTGGCAGCGATTGGCCATCAGTTCTGCGTTCAGACTCTGCAATGGAAAACATGAATACCGAACATCAGTATGAACACAAAGGAAAAGCAATACCGCACTTCAGATAAAACAGATATGATAGGAAATTTTAACACTACATATATATATATTGTGTGAAAAATTACTAAAACACTCAAAGTTTTCTGAATAAGGCAAAAACGCTTTTCCTGTTGAACTGAAAATTTATCGGACGTATCAATAAACATTACAAACAAATAAAAAAGGAGTATTGCTTAAAATTAATAATGACCACTGCAATATAAGACGGAACACAAGACATAAGGTAGAAGGATACAATAACCAAACCGTTCTATCATTTTTTTACTTGCGTATGACATACGATGGATAGCATTAGCTTTTCCTACGCAACTGAAATCAATTCCGCTTAATCAAGTCCACTATCCATAATCTGAACTACTTAATCGAGCAATCACAGCACTTTGTTTGACTTCTGGTTGTTGTGCTCAGGCTGCCCATTTGGAATAAAAGAACACACGGAGGATTGGGATAGTGCAAGCAGAGTTAAATAGAAGATGGAGAATTCCCATGAAATAAGGTTGCAAGGGGAATGAGTAGGTGCACTATCACCACTGTTTGCGACACAGTCATATCACTGAGTGTCACTAACCAGCGGTTACGATGGTCCTGAGGTTCCCATCCAGGGGGCCTAAAGCGACCTATATAAACTGGTCTCTTGATCACGGGTTTATATCCTCATATGAAGTCCTTATTTGATCACTTTTGACATTTTTTCATCCACTACCTGCAGTGGCAACGATCGCGTGCGGTGAAAACCTATTGAGTAACATGCGCAACGAATGCCCCAGCTAGTGTTATCTAAGGAAGTTGACCACCTACTCTGGTGGGCGACTGCGGTTACCTCAAACTCTGCACCTAACCCCAGCATTGCTCGTCTAGATTTCTCATCAGACTCATGCAACGCGGCGTGGTCTGACATGTTCGAACAAAAATGTCTATATTTATCCTGCTTTCTTAATGGCTACTGCAACCAATTTTCATACAATATAATATAATAATAATATGATATAATACAATATAATATAATAAAAGCGAAATCCTCGATGGGAGTTGCATGGACGTTTGACAGGCCTCCCCACAGTCTACTATCTGCCAGCTGATCTAATGGACCACAACAAACGGCCTACGGGCTTTTTTAGGTAAACGGAGTCCTCCACTTCATAGGCCCCAAAACACATCTTCTACACGTATTGCAGGATCCTCTGGTGACTGTAGTGCTTCGATAAGAGATTCTCTTTGAGCCCCCCAAATGCGATGTATTCACTCATGACTAAAGAGAGCCAGTGCTAGCTAGTGAACGGTTGGAAGTCGTAGGTGGAGTCGTTTGTCTCAAGGCTGGATCATTCGTGGTAGGTGACTGACTGGGATCTCAGAAAATGTTTAGCACGCCCACCTGGAATTCTCTAATTTGAGGCATCTGTGGCGCATGCAGAACATCGAAGATGCATATGACTGAAAAAGCACATCGACCGTGCATCGAAGTGAAAATAAAGCATAAATAGAGAAAGGTTTAACTTCGCAAACGAACTGATGGTGATTGTTCATACAACAACCATCCTCATGCAGGGTTTTGTTTAGGTTTATATTGATGAATTTCAAATGAAAGAACCGCTCAATGAGAACTCACCGTCAATTCATCTACTAGGAGCAAATGCAGCTCTCCTGGAGACAGATGTGAATGTTTGTTCAAATAATCCGACATCAGGTTAAATTGCGTCCGAATCTGAGGTGCGAATGTTTATAAAATTATGTCAAAATTTCAATTCCGCCCAAGAACGAAAAATTAACACGAATACTCAAATGAAATAAATCAGGGTGGTGTTTTAAGGAGTTTGACACAATAATATACACCTGAGCAGAAACCTTGCACTGAATGTCATTCACCCAGTAGTCATAACAGAGCAACAGATAACGAAAATGTTTCGATGGTTAATGTCAACGACGTGCATTCCAATAGCGGATAACTTTTGGACAAGAAAATGTACTGGGTGAAGTTTACATTGCATGAATGAATAAACCGCCTGCGTTTTGCTGCTTTGTATAGCGATCTTTGTGCACGCTAGAAATTTCAGTGACAACAATAATCACATATTCAGTCTTAAAGATTTTTTCATGTGACAACCAAACAGAATAAATGAGGGATTTGAAATTTTTGCGTAATCATAATCTCGTTTGATGCCTGAGAGCTACTTTGATTCGAAATCAAATTATGATCCGCGAAGGGATATGAGAATCTGTGGAAAAATGCACGACACATAGAGTCAATTTCGCGTTTTCTCTGTCACCAATTTCAATGACTGAAGTGCTATGTCAACAAAGGGAGGCATAATTGTCGTAATCGAGCTTGTATTCTTTGAAGGTAATGCTGACAAATGATCATCACAATTTTTCGTCCACGGAATAATTCCTCCCAGGGTGAACAACCAGAATACCAGTAGCCAAATGCAGAGGCGCAAGGCGAACACACATTAGGCGGTGTTTATTATAATTTATATTAGTTTGATCGGGTATGAAAAACAGCAGTCCGAAATGTTCGCATCTGACTTGGCCTTCGAGAGTTATCTCGGTAGCCAGGGTAAAGCAGATCACCTCACCATTATATTTTCAGTTGCTCTTCCAACTGCGTTGAANTAAGTTGCCACAGTTCATGCGCAATGAATTTGACCAGTCACTTTAAAAGGGAAAATTACCTAATATTGTATCTAAAAGTAGAACAATGTGTGATTGCGGTGGTGCAGTATAAAGTAGTGTTGGAGGCAATAAGATGCATGCAAGCCACATTGCCTGTCTGGCGTACCGCCACTCACGCTTAAAACGCGCGTACCAGGGTCAACTCCTAGTCACAGTTTCTTATTTCTCTCTCTCTCACGTGACCTGTTGAAAAACTGTTCAAGTTCTGTAAACTCCTAAGTGAGCCGCACCCTGTGATACTAACAATTATATCTCCATCTTCCTGGTCTCGTTCATAGATTTGCAAAACCTTGGTGTTAGTCGGAATGCCGCCATTATCTCAATGACCACCATTATGCCTTCCGTCAATGTAAATCCACTGATGATCTGTTGCACACAAATCTCACTTTGGTTTTTCATCCGGTGACCCTTCGGATTTTGAAGTTATATGATGAACCAAAGCTCCGCGATAAGTTCAGTCAGAACGCCACGCTCTTCAGTTTTATGACCAACAAAAGTGAAACAAGCCTTTCCGGAGATTAATTTCAAAAGAAAAGACCATATGACAATAGTGCACGATTTATGTCCAGGACGATTTCGCTGCATCTCAACATGGTGCATACTGCAGAAAATACAATGTTTATATAGGGCATATAAATCGTACAGTATTGCCATATGGTCGTTTCTTTTGAAACTAACAAAAGTGTCGGTATTTTGAACCAATCAAATTCTCCGATCACCATCTATGAATACTGTGTCTGAACAACCGCGAACACTGATTGGCTAATGTATTCTGAACGAACAATACTTCCCGACGCATACTAGTGAGTCTTTTTGATTGGTCACAAATAACTAACAGTTTCAGTTTCAATTTCAATTTTTACAACCCTCAATCAAACACTTTGGTGCGGCTCTTTCGACTGCTGTTTCCTGGCTGCCTATTGAAATGGAATAAAAGGGGGATTGGGACGTTTAAAGTATTAGAGATATCATGAAGACTAACGTTGCAAATAAATTGAGTAGATGCACTTGCCCCGCCGATAGTTCACCTTTATCTTGTTTTCGTAATCGGTTAGTTTCTGCACCGCATAGAAGAACTAGGGAACTGCTGCACCATATACTCCACCTATTATGGACAGCCAGAAATCGAGACGGTGTCACGAATGTCTTGGGTCGGCAAATGCCAACGTAACCTTCTGTTTACGCGCTGGAACTTCATCCGTGATGTGTCCACCGCGTGCGATATAGCTCCTCAAAGAGCAAAATTCGTTCAATGCCTTTAAAACTTCTGCAGGTGCTTTAAAGTTGGAAGCTGAACCAACGCAGTCCTGCAGCAGCAGCTTTCACTTTAGAGGTGCAAAACTGATGCGAAACGTTAATATGTTATTGCTTAAGCTGAAGAAAGCTCCTAGGTACGACGGTACTCAGGAGATATGCGTAGCTGAACACTGCCAGACGCTTCACCTGGTTGTGGATTAGGGAACATCCTTACCAGGAGTTAAATGAGAACAAGTCACGGCTCGTTGTGAAAAGTGAGCAAAGGGGGTTGTGTGCGACAGACTGGTTGCCTGTCTCTCAGCAAAATCCACACGAATACACCAGGCACTTATTGAGTAAATCTGTTTTGAATTTCAAATTTACTGACAGCAGCCAACTGTTCGTCATCAACATTCGTTTTCAACATCCCAGGATGTTTTTTCTGACTTGATACTTTAGCGAAGACAAGATCGCACATCAGATCGAAAACATTCTGGTAACGTATCCGTGAGTATTGTTGATTGAAGGTTGTAGAATTTACCGTGAGCTGGAAAGCGGAAACCCGAATACCACCGATTACACCTCGTGCGCGCCCGTCCGAAGATTCTTATGACCATTCATCCAAAGGTCCCTCTACGAACAATATAAAAATGGTCTCACTGAATCTTTTGAGAAAAGAGGAGGGCGTTTCCCGCACTATTACAGTGAACCTAATCACACGCTCCCAGACTAAGGGACAATAAAAGATCAGTGGGACGCACTGAATACCATGATCAGGGAAGATGCACTCACACAACTAGAAAGAATGTAGTGTCGAACTAAAGATAGAATCTCAGCAAATAAACTGCATCTTTTCACGAAAGTATGAGGAATTTTGGTGCAGAAATCCATTAAATTTCAAAACTTTCGTCTTGAAGCCACTCGTTCAGCTAAGAGAGATTGTAAACAATGCCACATGCGAACTGATCAAACGTCCCGATCAGAAACTTCATAGTTTGGTCGAACGTTTCGATCGTCTATTTTATCTCTCGTCCCTCTAAGCCAGCTACCCAGTAGTACAGAATTTGCCGGATATATATGCAATCAGCTGATATCCATTCAAAATGAAAGAAATAGCCAGTACCGTGCGGTGGATGAAAAATAAAAGTCGCCTAGAGAAAACCGGATACCCCCTAAGATGTACAACCCTTGGTTATAGAGCCGCCTTGACACTCATTATTTCTTATAACATTCAATTTCGGAAACCGAGACTTTGGCGGCATAAAATTAACAAATTGCCATAAACGTTTGCTGTGAATGCCTGTAGCATTGTCGGCTGATTATTGATGCTGCCTGCTACTTCAACACTCGCACGCCGTGCGGACTAATGTTACCATAATATGCATCCGTTCCATTCAATCAGATGTTAGTACTGAAATATAGGCAATGATTAATTCGTGGACTGTCTGACTGTTCAGCTCGATTGCTTGAGCGTTAACCCCCCACCCCACCCCACCCGACCAGCCCATAGACAGGTTACATGTAGTTACTGCTAACAAACGCGCCAGCTAATTCGTTACGTTTCTACCCACTTGGACACGGCAGGGACCCTCCCAATAGGCTGGGCCACCTCGAACCTGCTTCCCATCCCTAACAAAGGCCATAATACTGTATGCAAAAACCTAGGAGACATCAGATTAATCAACATAGTGGCCCAACTGTTTGCAGAGAGGCTTCTAAATCGCCTCGGGGCTTCACGGGATTCACAAACACACTACTCAAGGTGGCTTTTGTTGAAGGGAATGCAGAGGTCAAATCTTCACGCTGTTTCGAGCCTGGAATACCGCCACAAATTCCGGCCACCAACTGCCATGTTTTATAGACTTCCGCTCCACTTTTGTTTCTTTCAATAGAGATTCCCTGTGAAAGTATTGTAGGGCAGGGGAATTACACAAACACCTCTAGTACTGCAGAAGTCATACTACACAGGTACTCGGGCGCAAGTCCAAACGTACCGCCAGGAGCCGTTGGAGTTAATTCTAAGTTCCGCAGTTTGGCAAGACCTCCTTGTTATTAAATTAGTTTGGCTGTTGCACCATGAGTTTTCTAATTACCGTAGGTTGTATGCTGGTTTGAGTGTTTAGATCACGGACCCCAAGTGGGCTGATAACATGCTGCTGACAGTCAGTCAAACTGAACCTCTAGGGAAAACCTTTGTGCTGAAGATAAATATGTGGAAAATTAAGATCTTTTAGACAGGTGACACTCATCGACCGCGTCTACTCTGACCAATGGTGCAGTTGTGTAAACAATCCCATCTTTCAAGTGTCCGGGTTCTACCTTATTACCAAGTAGTCAGGCGAAGGACGAGATTTTTCTCTCTGTTGGAAGCACAAGGAAAGCCTTTCTCCAGTTTCGCAGATCATTAGGGACTTGTATTATCATCAGTTTCTGACCAAAATGCATGCATACCAAGCTGCCATTTGCCCCATCCTAATATACGGTTATGATATCTGGTCTTTCAGAGTGTAAGACCTTAGACAACTAGAGTTCGTCAACCATTGGTTCCCCCAATGCATTGCCAGAGTAAAATAGTGGGGCCGGAGCCCTAACGACGAGTTCCGGCGGCGCTGCATGACCACACATAATCTATGCACTCTCTTGAGACGACGACACTTGAAATAGGTCGACCGTGTACTGCGTAGATCAACCTCCATTCTGACGAGACAAACCCTCCCTCCGGCGCTATGTCCCGAATGGCACTGCGACAGTGGAGGTCAGTTGTGGAGCTGTACCAGCACGATGAAATCCAATATAGAGTTCTTGGACCTCTAAACTGTGTATAGCTATTGAGATTCGAACCAAAGTTGGATATCGTTCTGCGTTGATCTTCTCACCGAACGCAGTGCAGGATTGGCGGTAATGGATGTTATACGTGAGCCCCAATCACCTTTTAGAAAATAATCGCATAAAAGTAAATCAAAGTAAGTTAACTGATTGCGGATAATGTTGCAATTATTCACCTGTAAGTATTTTGAGCTTTAAAGCTCTCCTCTTGTTACATCTCTCAGATACATAGCTTTATTGATGATCAATCAATCTCGGTTCTTGTTGCAGGGGTCATTTCGAGGGTAATTGTAATTAACTCCAGTGTCCTTCAAGGTACCCAGCTATTTCCTATCCCCTTTTTTCTCTTCATAGACGTTTTACCATCAGAAACTCCCAATCATATAGATGCTTTTACCGATACTGTCCCTGAACATTGTTCTCTTTATTAAAAAACACCCCGTGCTTCCTCCACTTTCAATCACGATCAGCTGTTTGTTTGTGTTTCATTCATTCCGAGCGTGAGTTCCAGTACCGCTTTTAGCACAAAAGGTTCAGTCATATTCAGTTGTGCTTAAATCTCTTTTATGTATGGATCACGCAAACGCATTTCCTGAACTCCTAATAGGCATTCTGTCTCTTTTTCACTGATTTTCTTATATGTACCTCTACTAGGCTTCTAAACTTTCTGCTCCATATCCCGGTTCCCTCAAATTTTTGAACGTGCATCACGTGTGCCCAGGAAACCCTCGCACCTTTTCCCCGTCGAATGGGTTTTCACCCGCCGTCAACTTCTCATTCCTAACAAAGCCAGAACGCATCTCACTACGGAAACTTGCAATCATGTCTTCTGCGGGACCTCTTCTTCATTAGCACTTTTGTACTTAAAGCCATTCACGGTGTTGTTGATCTAGTCTTAGAATTTTCTCTCATTCGTCGTCGATCGTTTCACTGTTTCTTTTCCGTTACCATCATCCTTTTCGGTCTGCACAGTTTGTCAATTTGATCATTCCACTTTAATTTGCTTGCGTAACCCGGCCCCAGACGTAGATTTACTCTTACAATGTGACCCTAAACATTTGTCGAACAGTGGTCTTTAGGTTACCTTATGCAAAGGACCTCGATGCTGTATAACAATCTTCCTTGCTTCGTTTACTAACCTCTAATAAAAGGCAGAATTAGTAAGCTTTTTATGAATATCCCTCCCGGCAGTTATCTTAATTACCAAGGTATACACCCTTGTACTGTTCCTCATGCTGATCATGTAACAAACAATACATCTTATGAACTTAACCAACCCATTGTTTGTTCTGATAACTGTGGATTGCATAAGGATAACAACACATGAAAAGGGAAGTAGCACTCAAATGAAAATAACACTGTCCGCATACTTTTAAAACCTGTTTTTACTAGGTCTTCCCTGAGAGCTGAAAGAGTACTGTCAAAGTGGAACTAGAGATCAAAAATGCTCTAACATGGCTCTCTTAATAATAGGACATTCATTCATCATGTGGAAAATCAAAGTATCTTTAACCAAACGTTAGCGGGAAAACTGTTCATGATGTAAAAGCTGGTTTTAGTCTGCCAAGGAAGCGTCACAACAATTATCTGTTCAGTATTTTCTAGAAATAAGAATACGCAAACAACGTTCATTCACAGCTCCTATTTAATTACCTTTGAAATTCTTTCATCTTCCAGTTCTTCTAAGTTATGTTCAAGGTTGCTGATTGCCGTACGCCGTTTACTTGCTTCCTTTTCCAGCTGACTCCAAGACAACAGGACTTCATGTGATTGAACTGATGGATGATCCTATAAGAAACAATGCAATACAATAACAGTTACTGCATGATGGGAACTACTTGCATGACTTCTGACAGAAATATCTCAGGAACGAAATTGGACTTACTATATCTTTTGAAAAGAAATCCACTGCTTCTTTCTGTCTAGACCAACTTTCCTCAAGAGCGTTAGCAGTTTCTGTGCTCGCTTTCATTAACCTTAATTCGATATCCTGAAAGTGGAAAATGATTCTTGAAAG